TGGTTTGAACTGCCAGCCTTTTGGCCAGCAACCAAGCACTTAGCCATTGTACCACCATGGCTCCTTTTTGTCTTACGTACAGGGACTTTCTTTCTTGTCCTTGAATTTTCCACATCCAGCCAGAGCCTGGCAGCTAATGGTTGTGCAGTAAACGTCTGCTGAATGAATGAACGGATGAATAAAAGGTCTGATTTCCTAACACTAAAATAGCCGTGAAGTAGGAAGGAATTTGATGCTGGGAGCCTCCGGAACTGCCAAGATTATACCCTTGAGGCAGAGTTGGCTGAGCTCCCCTTGTTATTGTTGTTAAGTCAGAGAGTTAATCATTTAGAAAGCCAACCTTGCCTAGCTTTGGGCTCAACCTGCTCCTACAGTGCTGCCATTCCTTCCTTTCTTGGCTGAACCACTTTACATCTGCCCTGGGAGACTGAAGGCCAGTAGAACATGGGGTCAGAAGCCTGGGTTGCGGTTCCGACTTGACATGGATTCAGGGTGGGGGTATCATGTCAGCTTCCCAAGTCTGAAGATTGGGATACCGTGCCTGCCATTCTAGGGATGAGGACACCAGACATTATTTACTATTTAAGCTAAGTCCTACAGTATATCTTTTTTTTTTTTTTAATTGTGATTTGGGTGAAAATTTACAGAGCAAATTCCCTTTCCATACCAGATTTTTCTAAAGTAGATCTCTAGGCCTTTCCTCAGAGGTGCCTCTGGGTGGCCTTGAAACTCCGTTCTTTTGGGTAGCAGCTGAGTGCGTTAACCATTTGCACCGCCCAGCGACTTTGCTTCTTAACAGGAGCTGATAATTGTACAGTTGGCCAAAATCTAGCTTAAGAGCATCTACTATGTGCCAAACTCCAGGTAGTGGGATACAGAGGCGAATAAGAGGCAGGCTTCCCCAAGTTTAAGAAACCTACAGTCTTGTAGGAGAGACAGACCTTCAACTAATATAAGTGTGAAGAGAGAAATGACTGAGGAAAGCAAATGTGGGGGTCAGGGCACGCAATGGGAGGCCTAACCTGGGAGAGGGGCTCAAGAGAAGCTTTCCTAAGATGTGCAGTTTACACTTAATCCTGAAGGATAAATAGGAGCTAGATGGAGGGAGCACGGTGGGATGAAGGGACCAAGAAAAAAAAAATGTTGTTGAATGGGCAGATGGATGGGTAAACATGGCATTGATAAAATGGCACAGTAGTACAGAGCATTCTGACTGGTACAGAAAAATAGATGGCTGAATTCTGGTGCTGTAGTGCCTAAGACATTTGACTGCTAACCAGAAGGCTGGCAGTTCAAACCCACC